TTTGGTGAGCATGAAACATTTCCCCCGAACTCACAGCTGTGGTGTGCGCACTGTTCTGTGTCTGCGTGCGGCCAGTTTAAGAAAATAGCACCGATGGCATTTTATGGTCCTTCCACTAGTGTCCTGTGCCGCATGGCCCCAACCCAGGAGCCTCTGACCCACATGAGAACCACAGTGAGGAGGGAAGAAGCGGCTCATGGGCCTGGGCCCTCAGCGGGCAGCTGCTGGAGGGACCGGGCACAGAGTCCGTACGTGTTGTTGAGCTGGGGCGGGGGGTGCCAGGGGAGGGAAAGTGGAGCCTGTGTGCGCATACACACATACACACACACGCACCCACACATGCACGCACGCACAGGCTCTTTGCTGGTTATCCTGAGCCAAACTCATTTCAGCAGAGGGGACCTGCTCCAGGAGCCCATGCCGGGTGGACAGCTCTGGGTCTGTCCCTGCTGCCCCTGGCTGCACCCCCCACCCCACCCCCGTCTCTTCATCCGAGGCTGGGAAATGGCCACTTGTGCCTGCTGCACTCGGCCTCCCCTCTGAGCCCAGACCACAGCTACCCTCACACGGAGATGGGGCGGGAAGGAGCAGGGCCCTCCCTCCCCCGCCCCTGAGCCTCACCCCCACACACAGCCAGCAGCACCCGCGAGGACCCAGCCGCCGCATCCCAGGGGGCTCCAGCGCTCAGAGCAACTTTCCTACAAATCTGCTTTTATTGGCGTTCCCCGATGCAACCGGCCCTGCATCGCATCCGAATCAGCCGAGAGGGACAGCGAGGAGCAGAGGGAAGAGCCCCCTCGCTCCTGGAAAGGCGGCTCACAACCAGCCTGACTTGGTAAAGCGCTGCACTAGATGGTTGTCAGAAATAATTTATTCCTGTTAGCTGTAATCTGAAGGAAAACAGATACAAGTCCCACAGTTAAAAAAAAGGAAATAGTCTTGCTTTTGCTGACAGTACAAAGGTGTCACATACAGAAAGGATTGACACAGACCAAGGGGTCTTGTGGGAAATATGATAATAACTATAAAGAAGACAGATTATTCCCCAGTCGCCAACATTCAAACCTTTTTACAGTCAGTTCAAACATATAAAACTTTATTGCTCTAGTAGAAAGGGGAACAATTTCTGGCTACACAGCTTTCCCAGGGCTGGGTTATACTGTCTGTGTTATTGCTCTGTAGTGGCATTTTAAAGTTTATTGAACAAGACTTTTACAATTGAAGGAAGTATATAAAACTGTAAATTTATTAGATTTTTCAGGATAAGTGCCCTTTCTAGTTGTGCTCAAGAATTCGGAGCTGTGAGAAATGGCTAGTTACAGGACTTATTAATATGAAAGGCTGGGAGTGTGCACACTTGATACCTTAACCGAGCTAAAAAATAACAGTATTACCGAGCGTCAGGGACCTGGTGCTGTAGAAGTGGGTGGGGGCGGATGTGGACGACTGTCAATACCAGATGCGTTTGTTTTCTACGGCCTGAAAGTTAGCTGTCGCTGTGTCTAACTGGGCTTGACCGGAGCCCCAGGCCAGGCGCCCTCTGCCCCCGGGAGGGTGTCGCAGGGGAAGGACCCCCCTCCTCTCGGGGCTCGGGGGGCTCGGGAGCAGGCTGGCCTCCCTGGTCTCACGGACCTGGGGGTGATCCCATGCATGAGGTGAGGAGGCGGCTCCATCGGCCCCTCAGCCTCCGGACTGAGCCCCGTTCCTGGGACTGGGGACTGGGGACTGGGGATGCGGCAGCAGGGAGGTCATCCCAGAAGCATCCACCCTGCAGAGGGAGCCACAGCAGAAGCCAGAGCCCAGGCGTCCAGCTGGGTTCCCAGGAGGCCAGCCTGAGCCATCCTGGGTACTTGGGCCTCTTGGCGAGTGGGCAGCGAGGAGTCGGAAGGGGACTGAGGACTCAGGAGGCTGAAAGGGCTGCAGGGGACGGAACAGAAGGACATGCAGAAGCGAGCGGTAGGCTGTGAGGCCCTGGATGCTTCACGCGACCTCGATGTTCTGTCCCAGCTCTGCGGACGCCGACGTTGGCATACAGGTTGCAGAGGGGGCGCCCGTGCTAAGCCAGGTGCTGTGTGTGAACTCACTGCTAAGCCAGGTGCTGTGTATGAATGAGATGCTAAGCCAGGTGCTGTGTGTGAACTCACTGCTAAGCCAGGTGCTGTGTGTGAACCTGCTGCTAAGCCAGGTGCTGTGTGTGAACCTGCTGCTAAGCCAGGTGC